ACACCCTCATCCTATTTTTGTTTTTACCACAAAAGGCCCTGTCCATGTACCTTACCTGTGAGTCACCAACAATTAAAGTTTTTATACCTTCCTTGTCATCCGTGCCCCTGACTGTACTAACGTCCAATTCGTCTATCAAGGGACTGAACGGGTTGGTACACTTAGCTGTTGTTGTCGTTGTTGTCGTATCCTTTGAGTGCTTCTTGACCACCAGCTTGGTCCTGCCACTACTCACGACTTTCCACTCGTTTGATTTTTCGTCAGACACTGGCTTTACTCGTCCAGCCTCTCCTTTTAACTTCGCCAGCTCTTTCCTTAATTTCAGGTTCTCCAACGTGGCCCTCTCAATTTCTAACTTGGCCCTCGCCAATTCTTCAGTGGACCACTCCAGTTTGGTCAACAAACTCTCATACCCAAGACCGCACATATCACTGGCCATATCTGATAATTATCCCTCTGGAGCTAACCCTGCCGTGACCTTTCCCCTAGTGAGGTCAGAACACAACTGTGAGTGAGGTGGGATAACCACTAAATTTTAATAAATAATACCTCAAACTAAAGTTAGGATAATATAATTGACATTGCTGGATTCCTTGTAAGACCAGGAATATTTTGAATATAAATGTCATATAATTTGGACAAAAGATACCATAGTTACCTAGAGAAAAATTTTTATCTAAAAATTGTAAGTTTAAAGCAAAATATATGATGTTTATATTCAAAATGATCACCAAATTATAAGAATTCCAGCAATGTAAATTATATTCTGGCTTGGTAATTTGTATGAATTTTATGAGCTAAAACAGGCAGTCAGGCAGGGTGGCGGGTGGGGCAAATCTAAAAATAGCGTCTCGGACACTCACCGCGTATATGTGGAAAAAATCCGCGTTAAGTGAAAGTTCAGCTTTGGCAAGGCACCGCGTATATGCGAAAACGCGTTAAGTGAAACCGCGTTAGGCGGGGTAAAACTGTATTGTATATTTTTCTCACTTTTTATTTATTTTTTATTTTTGTATTTCTTTATTATCATTATTATAATTACAGTGTTTTTATTATTATTATTATTATTATTATTATTATTATTATTATTATTATTATTATTATTATTATTATTATTATTATCAATATCATTATTATTATTATTATTAAATTTTCGCCCTCCATGCCCCGATGTGCTGCCCGGGTGGGCTAATCCCCGTTAAAAAAAAAATATTTATTTTTAATAAAGGTGTAGAGTTATAAGATAAAATGTGGAATTTGGAAGTAAACAAAAGTTTGGTGTGGAACCCTGATATCTTTGTACAGCATTTTCTCAGAAAACCCTGTATATAATTGTTTTATATATTTTTCAAGTGGACTAATGCTCTAGTCTATTTTAGGAACCGTGAAAGAATCTCAGTTGCAGCCGCTTCCAAGCTACTGGCTAACATGGTCTATCAGTACAAGGGTTATGGACTTTCTATGGGTGTGATGATAGCTGGTTGGGACAAGAAGGTGAGTTACTGGAATTATTTTATACTATGCTATGTCTTGTACAGTATTTCTCCAAAGGCAGGTTATTGTACAAGTTTTTTAAAAAGAAATCCTGTACAGGTTGACTATAAAAAATCCGGCAACCTCGGGACCTGAGGAGTGCTGGATTTTCGAAAATGCCGGAAAGCTGATGGTTATATTTGTTGTATAAGTTTAACAGAAAATGACTACCTGTACAGTCCTTTAAACAAAGAAAATTAAACACTTAAGTTAGGATAATATAATTGACATTGCTGGATTTCTTGTAAGACCAGGAATATTTTGAATATAAATGTCATATATTTTGCACAAAAGATAACATATTTACTCAGAGTAAACATTATATCTAAAATTTGTATGTCTAATGAAAATCTATGATGTTTATATTCAAAATGATCATCAAATTCTAAGAATTCCAGCAATGTAAATTATATTCTGGCCGGGTAATTTGTATGAATTTTATGAGCTAAAACATATATCTTCATTAAATAAACAAAGAAATATTTGAAAATGCGCTCCGAAATCCATGCCGGAAAACTGAAGGTTCCGGTTTATCGATTGCTGGATTTTTGATGATCAACCTGTATTGTATTAAAGTAGAATTTGATTCATAGTAAAATATTAAAGTAGAATTTGATTATGTACTTAAATGTGAGATTGAAATAATGCTGCTTTGAAAATTCTACAGGGTCCAGGTCTCTACTATGTTGATAATGATGGAAACCGTATGCCAGGCAATGTCTTCAGTGTTGGTTCTGGATCTATCTATGCTTATGGTGTATTAGACTCTGGCTATCGTTGGGATATGACTGATGCAGAGGCTCAAGAGTTGGGTCGCCGAGCCATATACCACGCCACACACCGTGATGCTTACTCTGGTGGTGTCGTTAGAGGTGAGCGAGCAGATAATGTATGAATGACAATGTCATGTATGAATGTGGTGGTACAGTACTGTTTTGTTGCCTATTTGACATTTTTATTTCTTAAGTTTTTCAATTTTTGTGGTGTACAGTAGGAATTCCCTACCCAATCACCTTCATCACTACGCTCAGAAGGTCGTACCTTTTCTCTGATGTTATGCATGTCTTCCTGGTCATTCAGTTACACAGACCCCTTGCCTATAGAAGCCAGAAACTCCTGTCCATCAAAAGCTCCACTGTCCCCCTTTGCTAACCTCTGCATGTGATTAAATTGATCAAGTTTCTACTAAATGTGAAATCTCTGATCTTAAGAGAGAATAATAAACAAGTCATGAATATTTCATTAAATTTTTTTTCTTGGTTAAACTTTTAAAAGAAACTGATAAGCAGTTCCATGTTGATGAATGGTTGAGTCATATTTGAAAACTACCAAAATACTTCAGTAAAACCTCAAGTCAAATAAGAAAATAAAGGATATATATATATATATATATATATATATATATATATATATATATATATATATATATATATATATATATATATATATATATATATATATATATATATATATATATATATATATATATATGTATATATATATATATATATATATATATATATATATATATATATATATATATATATATATATATCACCTCTACTATATCATCTTGTGCATCACATCTACTATCCTCAATCTACCACTACCCTCATCTTCAACCATCACATCTACCACTACCCTCATCTTCAACCATCACATCTACCACTACCCTCATCTTCAACCATCACATCTACCACTACCCTCATCTTCAACCATCACATCTACCACTACCCTCATCTTCAACCATCACATCTACCACTACCCTCATCTTCAACCATCACATCTACCACTACCCTCATCTTCAACCATCACATCTACCACTACCCTCATCTTCAACCATCACATCTACCACTACCCTCATCTTCAACCATCACATCTACCACTACCCTCATCTTCAACCATCACATCTACCACTACCCTCATCTTCAACCATCACATCTACCACTACCCTCATCTTCAACCATCACATCTACCACTACCCTCATCTTCAACCATCACATCTACCACTACCCTCATCTTCAACCATCACATCTACCACTACCCTCATCTTCAACCATCACATCTACCACTACCCTCATCTTCAACCATCACATCTACCACTACCTCATCTTCAACCATCACATCTACCACTACCCTCATCTTTAACCATCACATCTACCACTACCCTCATCTTCAACCATCACATCTACCACTACCCTCATCTTTAACCATCACATCTACCACTACCCTCATCTTCAACCAACACATCTGCCACTACCCTCATCTTCAACCAACACATCTGCCACTACCCTCATCTTCAACCATCACATCTGCCACTACCCTCATCTTCAACCATCACATCTGCCACTACCCTCATCTTCAACCATCACATCTGCCACTACCCTCATCTTCAACCATCACATCTACCACTATCCTCATCTTACTATTAAGGGTTATATTAGCTGGAAATTTATTATATATTTTCGGACATTTCTCCAGTTTACCACATCAAGGAGGACGGCTGGACCAAAGTCACTGAACAAGACAGCATGGACCTTCACTACAAATATGCTGAGGAGAAAGGAACAAGGTCTCAGTAAATGTGTTTTTGGCTTACCAGAAGTTGTTTAGTTAAGAATATATCAATAACCTAAGCAGTGATTGTCTTGTAGAGAGGTCATAAACAACTTAATATACAAGTACAGTAGCTACAGTATCTTGATAAATTTTTGTAAGTGTGGTATCAGTAAGTACAGCTCACACCTGTATCAGTAAGTACAGCTCACACTCTTTACTTGAGAATAATATTTATCAAGGGTGATTTATTTCAATGTTTTTGCATCATGTTTACTTTGTGAAGAACCATTATTTTAATAAAGGCAACTCTTTAAGATTATTATTATTATTGTTTTGCTAACCTTTGTCATGTGAGAGGGAGGAAGTCAAGGGTATTTAGCAAGATGGCTTAACAAAATTATCATGATATGGTGGATAAAATTCTTGAAATTTGGCATGACGTTTCCTTGCGACATACATGTGTATGCAAGCCTAGGAGCCTTTTCCAATTTTACTCACAATTCCTTTGGCTCACGAAAATCTAATGTGGCTGCCAATTAATGGGATCTTTCTTGTAGTTTTCCTATTCTTTATTACATGAGGCAAAGTGTTAATGTTTAGTAGCATTTTTTAGTATTACAGTACAGTATTACCCCGCGTTACGCGGTTTCACGTTACACGATTTCTCATTTACGCGGTACCTCGCCAGATCCGGACTTTAACTTTCCGCGGTGCATCTACTCTTATACGCGGGTGAAGTATAATTTTTTATTTAGGTCATAAAATTCATACAAATTACCCCGCCAGAATATAATTTGCATTGCTGGAATTCTTACAATATGATGATCATTTTGAATATAAACATCATGGATTTTGCATTAGACATACAAATTTTAGATCTAATGTAATAATTTGGTTTACACAAAGCAAATATTTTATCGTTTGTGCAAAATATATGAAGTTTACATTCAAAATATTCCCTGACCTGCAAGGAATCCAGAAATGTCAATTATATTATCCTAACTCTAGTCTGAGGTATTATTTATTACTAAAAATGGAAATATACTGTTTTCTCCCAAACATTTCTCTGGTAGGGAGGGAAGGTGGGGGTGGGGGGGAGGGTTGGGACCGACCGACCCAACTGGCGTGGTGTGAGAGGGGGAGGCAAGGTGGGGCATTTTGCTTGACATAGTGTCGTGAAGAATATTTTTTTTTTTATTAACTGAAGATATTTGTTTTAGCTCATAAAATTCATACAAATTACTCGGCCAGAATATAATTTACATTGCTGGAATTCTTACAATATGATGATCATTTTGAATATAAACATCATGGATTTTGCATTAGACATACAAATTTTAGATCTAATGTAATAATTTGGTTTACACAAAGCAAATATTTTATCTTTTGTGCAAAATATATGAAGTTTACATTCAAATATTCCCTGACCTGCAAGGAATCCAGAAATGTCAATTATATTATCCTAACTTTAGTCTGAGGTATTATTTATTACTATAAGTTAAAATCTAGTGTTTCACCCAAACATTTCTCAGAGAGGTAGGAGCCAGTGAGCTGGGAAGAGGGGGGGGGGGGAGTTGAGTCCATTATTTGAATGGACATTAACCTGGCGACTGTATTTCTCTTAAATATTAATTGTGTGTGCATACCATCATAAAATTAAGATGTTATTTTTTCTACAACATAGGTATTGTGTCGGAAAAAGTGGAGTTTGGGGGTCGGGCCAGTCTCTATTGGAATTAATCCCATATGTTCTGTTGTTCACTTTACGCGGTTTTCACTTTCCGCGGTACCCGTAAATTGGGGTACTACTGTATTTAGTATATTTATTATGGATGCTAAATAAAATTATAGATCAAGCCCATGAACAAGAAAACAAAGTTGTTGAGTCTTCAGGTGGATGTATTGGGCTCATGGATAATCCTCTGCTTTCAAACGCTGGATGGTTTTGGGGCCAGAGCCTTCTAGGCTGATTAAGCAGTTTGAGGGTGAATACTTCCCTAATGTTGATCCCGGGAGCCCCCAAAACTTTAAGCATCATGGTCTCTGATTGTCCAGTCAGATGACATTTAAAATGCTAACACCAAGAGGAAATGGGAAATCCTTTCCTAACAGACTTTCCTGGGTTGATAACTCTTGACAGTCAAAACTGCATAAATGAATCAGTGGCTAAATCAATCTGGAATCTCGAAAATAAGAGCAAGAGGCAGTACCAGGAGTATGTCAGGAATGTCCTTGAGGACCGCAGCATTTCCATACATGAACGAGTAAAGAAAAATTTGCTGCCATTGTTCAAGAATGCTCAACCAAAAAGGTTATCAACCCAAGGTAAGAAAATTAAAAAAATGCAAGATAATGTTGAACTGTTTGGACAGCTCCATATCTCTATGTAGAATCGAGCTGGGCATCTTGACGAGTTTTTCTCTCAAAGTGCACAAATGTCCACCTTCACTCTCAGACTTCAACTAACTTCATTTGCCAACCACTAAGTCCCAGCTGCTTCGTTCCCTCGAGCAGAGTGAACAGCCGGAGGTGCTTTCATCTTATGACTGCCAAATCATAGATGGAGCTGTTATTGTTCATTCTTTTCCAACAACAAGTGTAAGCACAATTGAGGAATATTCTGATAAAATATTTATTCCATATCTCCAAAACCAACTGCAGAATGCCTCACGGCTTGATGCTGTGTGGGATAATTACATACCAAATAGTCTTAAGAAATCTACTAGAGAAAAAAGAGGGAAAGGTATTTGCAGAAAGGTGACAGCTTAGACTTCCAACTTCCACCAACAAAAGATGCCCTTCTTCAGCATGCGCATCAAGCGGTTTATCAAGCTGGAGTTTGGACAACCAGCACTCCGATGCAGCAAAATGTGCCATCACCAGAAACATAGGTTGGCCCATAACTTCTGGGTTGTGGAATTCTGTCTGTTTAACAATTCCTAAGCGTCAAAAACCTGCAGAGAGTTGGTCAAATGTTCTTGTAAAGGTGGCTGTTCACGTTGCTAATGTGACAAAGTGAACCTTAATTTCTCACCTCCTTGCAATTGCAAGTGCAATAAAGCTGTCAAGACTTAATGTTAGATTCAAAGCGAGTGATGACTGTATTTTCCTTAGTGTCTTATATTTACACTGAAATGACTGCCAAGATATGTTTGTTTGGAACGTCCACACAAGAACAAAATTTCTCACATCTGTGTGCATTATAATGAACCGTCTATAATTTAGTCATATTAAGGGGCATTCAGGAATTTTTAAATGCCTATTATGTGTTGAAATTACATTTTTTGATCAGAATATAATTTTCCATAATAAATATGAGTAAATCCAAAGAAAAATACAGTGGTCCCTCGGTTAACGAGCACAATCCGTTCCAGCAGGTTGCTCGTTAACCGAAAAACTCGTTAACCGAAACCATTGTTTCAATGGGTTTTTGGGTAATTGGTTCCAGCTCACCGAAAATTGCCTAAATTCAACAAAAAAGGTAGAAAAGTACACTTAATTTGAGGTGTGTATGTAGAAGGCTCCTGGATGATGATGATGGGAATTAGAATGGGGGTGGAGGAGAAGGAAGAAGAGAAGGCATTAGGGTGGAAGAGAAATCACCCCATGGCGCCATTTCACCCATAAAATTTTAGCTCTCTTGGTGTATTTCAAGATTATTTTCTTTAAATCAACACTGCACTGCATTATATATTGTCAATATGTAAAATATATTTCAATATGACCAATAATTTGCTTGGAAACACAGAAAAAAAGCGTTTAGTTGAAGAGAGTCTCAAGCAAGATGTTACCTCCACTGAAAACAGAGAGACTAACGCCTGTCTGGTGTGTTAACAGGCTGGATGGCACGCCAGAAACTAGTCACTTTACCTTCAATTATGTTCAATAATTGTTAAAATGACTAAAAAAGTTTATATTATACTTTTAAAATTATTGAATAGTATAAACTTCTTGATATTTACTAAAATAGTAAGGAATTTAAGCCCTAAAACCGATTACTGTATTGGCGGACTAATACTACAGCTGGTGGACCGCCAAATGCAAGCGAAAACATGTTGAAGTCGGCTCGTAAAAAACTCGTTAATCGAGGGATTGCTCGTTAACCGAAGTTAAGAACCTTATGGAAGGTAAATCGTTAACCGAAATCTCGTTAACCGAGGCGCTCGTTAACCGAGGGACCACTGTAATAACAAAAAGTAGTCTTTTACTATCATGTGTCAAATGATGAATTTCTGGCAGCCATCTTGGATTGTTGCTATTTTATGGAATTCTGGGAAATGTTCAGAGTGTCTCCTAGTCTAAAAGTTAATGGGATGTCCAGAGGAAGCTTCATAATAAATTTGGTGCTTGTATCCGCCAAGTAACAATAAGCTTTAAAAACGCTTCCCGCGTAAATGATGGAATGAACCCCGAAACTTAAAGTTTTCATTAAGGCAAGGTGCCGCGTAAATGACCAAACACGTAAACCAAATCCGCGTAAATCGAGACTATACTGTAATGTCGAATGAATCACAATGTTACGAGAGATTTCTTCAGTACCTGCTATCCTGTCTATTCTGGGGCCACTAATTCTAAGGGGATAACTTAAATCTACTCTTAATTCTAAGCTCGCTGCCACCAGACCCTCTGGACAGTATGTAGCTTGTTTAGGTAGCTGGCAGAGCAAGCCAGGCATTGGGTTGGGTTTTTCATCGACCAAATCGAGAGTGGGAAGAAGGGTGAAACATTAATCATGACTTAACTAATTTATTCCTTATAAAAACATATTGCATCCAGTCGCAATACAAAAAGATTTGGCCTTCATCAGAATAACCACTATTATGTTCATTACACTTCACATCAGTATATGTCCTTCATCAAATAATTACTATTATCATCTTCATTCTTCATACCAACCAATGACCTCCTTACCTCGGTCATTCCTTCTTACCATAACACCCAACACATCAGACTGCACCACATGTTAGAGTATAGCACCACATGTTATATTATAGCACCACCTCTCAGGTACACTCCACACCTACAAGTATGGAACTCCTCGGTATTCTTCAGGCACACATACCAGGTACCTCGTTCACACTCTACTCTTGCTAAGTAGATGGGATACTTCCCAGGTAATCATACTAGTACTGGATCCAACCCTGGTATTCTTAGGTCGCTCCATGTGGCGACCGCAAAACTTCTCAAACACAACTATGTTCTCCTATCCTGGGTGGTGATATGTAGGGTATCCACAGATTCACGGTGGAGGTGCATAATGGCCATAAGCAGAACACACCACACCCGGTGGGTACCTCACAGTGGAGCAGTGGTGGTGGCTTG